CAATAAATTTTTTGAAAAGTGTATATTCATGTTTATAAACTTATGATTCTATTTAAATAAAGAGATTTTGAAAAAAGCAAATTAGGGCTATATCTATTCACTTACAAGGTTGTCCATGTTGCTTTCAAGCAAATTGCAAATTCTTTCTCTATATAAAAACAAGCAAAAATGTTTAACCTGTTTATATACATATTAATAAAAGGAAAGGTGTAAAAGGACATAAATCAACCTAATCTTAACATGGGTCACCTGACAGTGATTGGAGACATTTAAAGATTTGTCGTGCACTGGACGTAAGCTACTATTGGTGACTTTATTTCCTGTATTGTCTCTTCTTCACGTTCTCCTATTCACTAGGGGCTTACTTATCTCCTGATGTGATTACCAATTTTTGTCCCAACTTTCTGTGATCCACACCAATCATTCTCTAGATTGGCTGAGAGAGTGTGGGCACTGATCAACCACTGAGCTGGAGAAATGTCTCTGCAGGATCTCGTAGGCTTGAGCCTTTTCTGGTAAAGGGGTGTAGCGTGTCACCATTTTCCCAAAAGGGACAGCCCCAGAATCTGGGCTGGGACTGCAAGCCAAAAGAGCAGTAGGAGGCAGTCAGGTGGAGAGCGGGTCAAATTGCTACAAGTACCCTATTGCCAAATCAAATTTTAAATGTTATTCCTTCCCATCACCTGTGTCCAGGGAAGGCAAAACTCCAGGTGAAACTCCATGAATACGATGGATCCTCATTTTCCTGCCAAAATCCTTGTCTACAAATAGTGATTGCAATACAAGTAAATACAGCATGTTCTTTTAGTACAGAGTCTAGCATACTGCATATTGTAGATTCTTGATAGATATTAAAGAGCAGCAACACTGCTTTGAGCAAAATACGTCCAAAGAATTTGGTAGGTGATTTTATATGAACAGAAGAAGTCAGTAGGTATTCCTAAGACTATACATGCTGGAATATTTTAAAAGTTAGAAATTATACCTGAGAGAGAGATGAAAACAGTTTTTAAAAATCTACCTATGTTATCAAAGACCTAAAGATTAGGCCTGAGACAATAAGTCTTTTGGAAGAGAATATAGGCAGTACACTCTTTGACATCAGTTTCAAAAGAATCTTTTCGGACACTGTAACTCCTCAGTTGAGGGAAACAATAGAAAGAATAAACAAATGGGACTTCATCAGACTAAAGAGCTTCTTCAAGGCAAGGGAAAACAGGATTGAAACAAAAAAACAGCTCACTAATTGGGAAAAAATATTTATAAGCCACTTATCCAACAAAGGGTTAATCTCCATAATATACAAAGAACTCACACTGCTTAACAACAAAAAAACAAACAACCCGATCAAAAATGGGCAGAGGACATGAACAGACATTTCTCAAAAGAAGATATGAATATGGCCAATAGACACATGAAAAGATGTTCATCATCGCTAATCATCAGGGAAATGCAAATCAAAACTACACTAAGATATCACCTTACACCCGTTAGATTGGCAAAAACATCCAAAACCAAGAGTGACAAATGTTGGAGAGGTTGTGGAGAAAAAGGAACCCTCATACACTGTTGGTGGGAATGCAAACTGGTACAGCCACTATGGAAAACAGTATGGAGATTTCTCAAAAAGTTAAAAATAGAAATACCCTATGACCCAGCCATCCCATTACTGGGTATCTATCCTACGAACCTGATGTCAGAAATCTCAAGAGTCCGTTGCACCCCTATGTTCATCGCAGCATTATTTACAATAGCCAAGACGTGGAACCAGCCTACATGCCCAGAAACTGATGACTGGATAAAGAAGATGTGGTATATATACACAATGGAATACTACTCAGCCATAAAAAAAGACAAAATTGGCCCATTCACAACAGCGTGGATGGACCTCGAGGGTATTACGTTAAGTGAAATAAGCCAGTCAGAGAAAGACGAACTCTATATGACCCCACTCATAGGTGGAAATAAGTATATTGATAAGGAGATCTGATCGGTGGTTACCAGGGAAAAGGGGGGGTGGGGGGAGGGCACAGAGGGGGAAGTGGTGTACCCACAACATGACTAACAAAAATGTACAACTGAAATCTCACAAGGTTATAATCTATCATAACATTAATAAAAAAATAATAATAAAAAAAAATAAAAAATAAAAAAATCTACCTATGTTAATACAGATTGTGTATTTACACATCATTAAGGATGTACCCTAAATTATCTTAATATCTACCTAGCTCTCTCTTTCTCATATCTGTATCTTATTATGTTTTCAAATAACTAGAATAGTTTGTTATGCTACTATTTTTTTTTTTTTTTTGAGGAAGATTAGCCCTGAGCTAACATCCGCTGCCAATCCTCCTCTTTTTGCTGAGGAAGACTGGCCCTGAGCTAACCTTTGTGCCCATCTTCCACCACTTTATATGTGGGACACCCACCACAGCATGGCTTGCCAAGTGGTGCCATGTCCACACCTGGGATCTGAACCGGCAAACCCCAGGCCGCCAAAGCGGAATGTGCAAACTTAACCACTGTGCCACCAGGCGGGCCCCTACGCTACTATTTTTCAATGTCTCCTTAGAAACAAACTGACAATCTCATTTTATCTTACCTTTTCAGAACACATTCATTCACTCATTCATTCAACAAATATTTATTCAGGATCTCCTGTATATTAGGCATTGTTCTTTGCTCTGGGAACATAGCCGGGAGCAAAATAGACAGTAATCCTTTCTCTCATGGAACCAGTATCCTACTGGAGGAAAACAGCCAATAAACAAGGAAGTAAAAGATACAGTATAGTATGTCAGATGGTAATCAGGACTATGGAAGAAAATAAGAGGGATAAAGAATACCACTCAAGGGGGGAAGGCTGCAATTATATATATATGGTGGAGTCAGGGAAGGCCTTGCAGAGAAGGGAAAATTTCAGCAAAGAACTGAAAGAGGTGAGGGGAAAAAGCCATATGAACACCTAGGAGAAGAGTGTTACAGGCTGAGGGGTTCAACACATGCAAAGGCCCTGAGTCAGGGTGCATGCTGTTACCCCTCCAGTGTCATCTCCCCATATTCTGCACCTCCCTCACTTTACTCCAACCAAGCACTGGCCTCCTTGCTGTTGCTTAGATATATGCTGGTGATTGGAGGTTGAGGGGCCAGGGAGGCAGTGCAGACCTATAAAAGCTCCTCTGAAGAGACAGCCTTCTTGCCAAACTGAAAAACACTCCATCACCATATGACTGAAACGGACGTGGAGCAAACACTCCTCTTGAGCAGCAATGTCCAACAGAACTTTCTGCAATGATAGGAATGTTCTCTATCTGTGCTGTTCAGTAAGTAGCCACTAGACACATGTGTTATTGGGCATGTGAAAACTGGCTAGTATGACTGAGAAACTGAAATTTTAATTGTATTTTATCTTAATTTAAATTGAAATAGTCGAATGTGGCTAATGGCTACCATACATACATAGAACACAGGAATTTATCATTAATAGACAGACACCTTACTTCTAAACAAAGAAATATGTTTCATTTAATTTGCTAAAGTTGAAGCTGGTCTATTGAGAATTCTATGATTAAATATGACAATTATGATAGCTTTACTTAATTGCCACAAAAAGTATGTATTAGCCCTCATTTACCATGTAATTCTTTGGGTACTGTGTGAAAAACTACTGCCATTAGGTTTTCTGACCTCAGCTTTAGTGTTTCCCTGTGGATGATTTATTATCATTATTATTATTGTTATTATTATAAATTTTTTAAAAATCTGCTTTTAAATCAAGCTGTGTTTCCTGCTAGCAAGTTTTTTCTTCTCAATTTTATTTGTCTTCAGGTGACGCACATTTACATGCAAATGTAAAAATATGAATAAAAATATAATGAACAGGATATGGTATAATAAGCTATACATTCATGTATTATTAAATTCTAACAAAACAGAACCAAAGACTGTGATCAGCAGAACGGCTTAAAAGATTTTTGGGGAGGAAACTGGCATTCAAATAGCTTTGTTTCTAAAAAACTGGAAATAGGAAATACTCACTATTCCAAGAGACATGCAAGGCCAATCTTTAAGAGCTATACTCAACTTTATGAAAATATATAGGTTCTAAGAAAAAGGCATATATACACGCACTATACCAAACACACCACTAGTAAAGCTACACAAGAAAACTTCATGTTTCAGAATTTCTATGTTTAAATCAACAGCACCCAGAGACGATGAAAGCCAGTTACTAAAAAATTTATTGCTTAGTAAAATCTCAGTTTACAATTCAAAGGATTTTAAAAATCTCTGTGCTGTTATGAAGCTTTATGGGGTTTACAGTGGAGATGAAAACAGAAATAAAAAGATCTGACAAACAGAAAATGCCAGAGATATTTCCAGCATTATCAACATGGATTCTTTTTCCCCTATCATTACCTTTCACCTTATTCCAAGAAAACTAACTTTAACTCATCTGCCTGAAAAGACAACTATGCTTCCTGGGGTCCCTTTCAAAATGTAAATGTTTGATGGGCAATTTTATTTGGAAGAATATTATCTTCATAATTTTTTTAAAGAACTAAAATGTAAACTCCATGAGGGCAGGAATTTTGGATGATGTGCAGTACTCCCAGTGCCTAGAACAGTGCCTGCCATATAGTACGTAGTTTTCTAGTTCTCTGTTTAGTCTTGCTTCATATTACTGTCAAACCTTCATTTTCAAAATCAAGTATACTGAGATGCCACATAATAAACTGAACTGTGCTTTTTAAATTTTATACCAAAAGATCTAATTTATTTTAAAAAAAGAATGTAATACGCATTGGAAAATACTCGGCTGGAATGTTTGCTGAAATACTGTTTACTGCAAAAGTCCCAATGTTTTATCAACTAACACTGAAGTTTAAATTAGGGCTAAACTCAGGAAATTGACCTTCATAATATTTTAACATGATGTTTGTCTTTATAAGGTGGTTTTCTTCTAAGAATAGCGGACTTAAATGTCCTTGACTTACAGTCAAATTTCGGTCCCAAATCTGTATGCTTCCATTCTGGCAGGCAGCTGCAATGAGGTTTCCATCTCTACTATATGTGCACGTGGTGGGAATTACTTTTTTACCCTGCATTGTCCGTGGTTTAAACACGCTTCTTTGCTTCCTTGGATTTTCTACTTCCCATGTCCTCACAGTCCTAAAAAGAATAAGGAAATTTTCATTTACAAAAAAGAAAGGAGTTTAAAATACAAAAGAGCACATAAAGACAGCTTCACCTTTTAAGCATATAAACCTAATAATTATTTTAAAATAAAATAAAATGTGCACCATAAAACATTCCCCATCTGTAAATGAGGTTACTCACTGAAATAAAGTAAAGCATCCAAATCGTGGTGTCATCAAATCAAACAGCAAGTGGCAAATTCTACTTCAAATCTATCAGCTATTAGTTCTGACCCTCTAAAGCAGTGGCCTCCAAACAATTCTGACTATACACTCTGATCAGTAAAACTGTTGAACATACACCTCCTATACACACACATTAATATCTAAATTACTTACATGTGCTAATGTGCCGTTATATAACATACACCAGAAAACACACTGAAAAAGTAAGTCACTAAAAAAGAATGCTGTCCTGCTCTAGGGCCCAGGCAAAGATCTCATGCCTCTGGGGGAGTAATAAAAATAAAGCTGTCTGCCCCTGAGTTTTCACCAAGTAACAAGCAACAGCAGTCTAGAGCTGAAGCGGGGACAAGACTCCCTCCCACTCACAGTCCCAGGCAAAGGATTACTGCCACTGAGGGAGGCTAGAACAAAATCTATATGACCAAGAGAGAGAGAAAACACCCACAATACACAGCCAAACAAAAAAGAGTTCAGCCACTTCTTGGCAGAAATTATCCAAGCTAAACCACTATGGAACATCTCTAAAGTTTTTAAAGAAAAAAACTGTAAATTCTATACTCTATAGCCAATGAAAATATATTTCAAAAATAAGGTGACATGAAGACTTTTTCAGGTGAAGAAAAGCTGAGACAATTCATTTCCACCAGATACATACTACAAGAAATGTTAAAGGAAGTTCTTCAGGAAAAACAAATAGGACACAAATGGAAACCTGCATCTACACAAAGAAATGAAGAGTGCCAAAAATGGTACAAATGAGAGAAAATGTAAAAGACATTTAAAAGAATGTTTAAATCTCTTTAAAAGATAAATGGCTATAAAGCAAAAATAATATATTGTGAAGTTTTAAGATAAACAGTTCAAGTAAAAATGTATGACAACAGTAGTACAAAGGTTGGGAGGGAGAGATGGAAGCATACAGTTTTATACTATACTTGAAATAGTAAAATATTATTAGAAGAGAAACTTTGATACATTGAAGATGTATATTATAAATCCTAGAGCAATCACTAACACATTTTTAATAATGAATACATAATAATGGAGATAAAATGGAAACAAAAATTAATCCCATCAAAACCAGGAAGAGATAAAAAAGAACTATGGGATAAATATAAAACAAATAGCAACATGGTAGATTTCAATCCAACCTCATCGATAATTACATTAATTTGAAGTGGCCTAAAAACTCTAATTAATAAAGCAAAGACTGTCAGATTGGATTAGATAAAAGCAAGACTCAGCAGATTTTGTCTTTAAAAAACACAAAAAAGCCTCTAAAGACTTAGAGACATTAGTAGTAAAAGGACGGGGGAAAATGATGTACCATGTAAACATAATCAAAGAAAGCTGGAGTGACCATATTAATACCAAAGTTGACTTCAGAACAAGGATAAAACTAGAGACAAAGAGGAAAATTTCATAATGATAAAGTCAACTGATCAAGAAGACACAACAATCCTAAATGCATATGCCCCTAATAACAAAGCTTCAAAATATAAAAACTTAATAGAAATAAAAGAAGAAAGAGCAAATCCATACCTATAGCTGTACACTTCAACACTCTTCTCTCAGTAACTGATAGAACAAGTAGATCCCTCCTCTCCCCCCCCCAAAAAAATCAGTAAAGGTATAGAAAACCTCAAAAACAAGTTGAGCTACCAAAGAAGTTGAGCTAAGTAACATTTATATAACACTTCACCCAACAACAACTGAATGTTCATTCTTTTCAGGTACACACTGAACATTCAACAAGATAGACCATATTCTGGGCCATAAAACAAATCTAAACCACTAAAAATGACCAAAATCATATAAAGTATGCATACTGTCAGAAAATAAAATTAAATAAGCAGTCAATAATAGAAATGTATCTGGAAATATATCTTTTCCATAACATTTAGAAACTAATAGAAACAATTTTAAATAATCCATGGGTCAAAGAAAAAAATCACAAGGGGTATTAGAAAGTACCTTGAATCCAACAAATGTGAAAATAGAATATTTCAAAATTCATAGTATTCAGCTAAGCAGAGCACAGAAAGAAAATAAAGCATTAACTATATATAAAAAGAAAGACCTCAAATCAATGACTTAAGATTCAATCTTAAGAAACTAGAAAAAGAGAAAGTTAAACCCAAACAAACAAAAAGAAGGAAATGATGAAATTGAGAGTACAAATGACTAAAATAGAAAATGGAAAAACAGTAGAGAAAACAGAAGCTGGCTCTTTGGGAAGATCAATAAAATTAATAAACCTCTAGCTGGATTGATGAAAAAAACAAAAATTGGAGACAATATCAAACACTAATATTTTGAATGAAAGAGAGGATATCACTATAGAGCTTAACAACATTAAAAGGATAATAAAGGAATTTTATGAACAAATTTATATAAGTAAATTTGATAATTTAGGTGAAATGGACAAATTTCATTGAACGATACAAACTACAAAAGCTCATTCAATAAGAAATAACTGGAATATTCCTATATGACTAAAAAAGCTGAAAACATAGTTTAAAATCTTCCAATGAGGAAACTCTAGATAGCTTCACTGTTGAATTCTACCAAGCAAGCAAGAAATAATAATACCAACTCTAAACAAACTCTTCTGGAAAATAAAAGAGGAAACACTTCTCAGCTCCTTGTATAAGGCCAGCATCACCCTGATGCCAAAGCCAAAGTCACCACAAAAAAAGGAAACTATGGATCCATATCCCCAAGAAACAGAGACACAAAAATCCTTGACAAAATATCAGCAAATTCAAACTAGCAGTGTATAAAAATGATACTACATCATGATTAACTGGTATTTAAACCAGGAATACAAAGAAGGATTGAAAGGACTGAAAACTAAACAATATAATGTTTAATAGAAAATTAAACATATCAACAGACTAAAAAAGAAAAAAGACATGTGATCATCTCAATCAATGCAAGACAAGCATTTGAAAAAAACGTCCACATTCATTCACAATAAAAAACTTTCAGGGGGCTGGCCCCGTAGCATAGTGGTTAAGTTTAGCATGCTCTGCTTCAGTGGCCTGGGTTCAAGGGTTCAGATCTCAGGTGCAGACATACACCACTCATCAGCCATGCTGTGGTGGCAACCCACATATAAAATGGAGGAAGGCTGGCACTCAGGGCTAATCTTCCTCAGCAAAAAACAAAAAAAACACCCACCTCTCAGAAAATGAGCAATAGGATGGAACTTTCTCAACCTGATAGAGGACAACTATGAAAAACTTACAGGTAATTTAATTAAAGAGAATGACTGAATGCTTTCCTCTTATGCTTGAGAACAAAGCAATGATGTCTAGCTCTCATCGTTTCTTTATACTGGCATTGCCAGCCAGTGAAATAAGGCAAATAAAAGAAATTAAAGGCTTACAGACTAGAAAGAAGAAACAAATCTGTCTTTATTAAGAGACCACATAATCATCTATAGAAAACCCCAAGAATTTGCTCCTAGAATGCTACTAGATTTTGCTACACAAAAATGCTACTAGAATAAGTGAGTTTAACAAGGTCACAGAATACAAGGTCGATAATCATAAATACATTTTCTTTCTACTGATTAGCAGTAAACAATTGGATGTTGAAATTATGAAAATAATACCATTTAAACAGCACAAATAAATATGGAATCTGGCAAGGTATGTTTACTATTTGTACACCAAAAACCATAAAACATTTCTAAGACAAATGAAAGAAGATCTGCATAAATGAGAAAATATGCTGTATTCATGGATCAGAAGAGTCAACATTGTTTAGATTTCAATTCTCCCCTAATTAATCTTTAGATTCAATGCAATCTCAATCAAAACTCCAGCAGGGTTTCTTTGGAGTAGAAGTTCAGTAAGCTGATTCTAAAACCCACATGGAAACGCAAACAACTTGGAACAGCCTAAATAATTTTTTAAAAGAACAAAACTAGGAACTTACTCTACCCAGGTTCCCATATTACCTTCTAACTCTGTCTTATAACATAAATCATATAAGTTGTATTCAAGCATGTTAACATCTATTTCTTATGGGCCAGCCCTGGTGGCCTAGTGACTAAGTTCAGCGTGCTCCGCTTTGGTGGCCCAGGTTCAGTTCCCAGGCGCAGACCTACACCACTCATCTGTCAGTGGCCATACTATCACAGAGGCTTACATACAGGAAAAGAAGAGGCAGAATGGCAATAGATGTTAGCTCAGGGTGAATCTTCCTCAGTAAAAAGAGGAAGATTGGAAATAGATGTTAGCTCAGGGTGAATCTTCCTCAGAAAAAAAAATGTATTTCTTCTACAAGAAGAGGTCCTTGAGAGCAAGCGTGCTTTTTTTTTGTTTTTAATCTTTGTTTGCCTAGGATCTGCACCATCTCTTGAACATAACAGGAACATAACACATATTAGGTCCTCAATAAACATTTGTTGAATAAATGACAGAAATTCACTGCTTATCTAAATATTTTAGAAAGCAACTTTATTGAGGTATAATCAACTTACAATGAAATGCAATTGATTTTTAAATGTATAGATTTCAAATAGCCAGCATTTTCTGTCAAATATTTATGATTTATTCCAAATGAAGGTTTTTTTCTTTTTTAATAACTTTCACATGTCTTTCCCCTAAGCTGTGCTTGGGAACTTAATTGTTTAACATTATCAAACCCTAGTTTTCACAGCTGTCAAACCCCGTGCCTGACATAAGATTGAACTAACTCAATTTTATAAACTACTGGCTAGCAAGATGTAAGCTCAAATAAGGGTTTGGGAACTGTACACAGAAACAAGAGAAGGGC